TATATATATATATATATATAGTCATTGCACTGGGTGTCAAATATAAAGAAACATTTATTGCACAGGGTATTAAATAGTAATTGCACATTATACATTGCACAAGTTATTGCTGTTGTAGTGTTGCATTGTAGAGTCTGATTGCCGCAGGGATGAATGACATGCGGTAGCGCTCCTTTTTACAAACAGGGTGTTAAAGTCTTTTGCCCGGGGTGATGTGTAGTGTTAGCTAGCTTTTGTCCTGTCTGGCTAATTTATCATGTTTCCTTCGTGGTTTGCGGTAAACTGCACATGTACCTTTAAACAGTGATGCTCTGCTTGTCAGTTGATTGGGATGTTGCTAGAATTCCCCAAAAGAGCTCTAGATCTCTGCATCTCCTCCTGACTATTTTGGCTGCTTCTCTGATTAATAGTTTTTAGAGCTTCTCAAACGTGAGTTATATTTATGCTTAGAATTAATTTCCACACAGATGGATTCTAGTTTCTAATTACCTCTGAGTGTTATTTATTTAATCTGCTGATGAAGGTTCTCAGTCATCCAGGTCATAGTCATTCCGTAAAAATTCAAAAGATATCCACTGGACTTGGTTTTCAAGATTTGAAGACGTTTCGCCACCTCTCCAGGAAGCTTTCATTTCACATTTGAATTGAGAAAGCTTCCCGGAGAGGTGGCGAAACGTCTTCAAATCGTGGAAACCAAGTCCAGTGGATATTTTTTTGAATTTTTACGGAATATTTATTTATTCATTTTATGAAGGGCTTAAGAATAAATTTGAGGTTTATATTTTTTTTATTCCTAGAATATCTACTAAAATTCTATACAAACATCATATTAGGGGTGTAGTGATTTTCTACATTGCAGAGGTAGGTTGATTTTAATGTCTAAGTATCGGCCGATCACAGATCTCCTAATATTAAGAAAATGGATTGATTGGCTGGTCGATAAATCAGTGCACCCCTATATGTTAGTTAATCACATATAGGATATGTTTTTTGCATGTCTTCCTCTTCTATTGTCTTTTCACGGGCTAAATTTGACCTCGTCTGCAGGTGACTCAGCCTCCGCGAACGGAGCAGCAGAGCCAGCTGCTGGGCAGCTTTGATGAGAAGGCCTACCTGTCAGCCAAGCAGCTCAAACCGGGGGATGACCCATACAGGGAGCATGCCTTTAACCTGCAGGAGAGCGACCGTCTTGGCAGTGAACGGGCCATCCGAGACACTAGACACTACAGGTGAGTAGGCTTTAGTTTTTAGATTATGTGTTGCTGGAACTAATATTTTGTGAGTTTCGGATAACTTTAGGTTTTAACTTTTAAGCTTGAATTACCAGCTTGCTATTGTTTTGTTTCATAAACTCCCTTGCCAGAAAGTCAAGTATCAGTATCAGCAAAGAGATTTTGCCTTAGATACTGATACCCAAACTGATTAGAGTTCCAAGCAAAAACATGTCCGACTTTTTTGTCAAATTAAACCCCCAAACCTTCCTTGCCTTTATTGTGATTGTACGTGAAAGACCGACAGAAAGTTATGCAAAACTGAGAGGTGAAAGAATACATGGCTTTTAAAATGTGGTGAAAATAAAAATGGACTCTAAAGATATTACAAGCATTGCATATGTACAGATTTATATGTTTGCCAGTTTTTTGTTGTTTTTTTCTTTATAAATATCCATAATTATGTTTCTTTTTTTTCAACCAGTGCTTCCTTCTGTCTTATCTACTTTGTATATTTCTATTTCTTCTATTCTTCAGTCGACCAAACAACTGGTTAAAAACCGTTTGAGTTTTTTTTTTTATTAAATTCCCCCCCTTTTTCTACTTAAAGGTATCGTGGAGGATTTTTTTGCGAATTTTTGAAAAGACCTGCCCTCTCCACTTAAAAAAAAAAAAAATGAATGTGCACAACCCTGAACCCGCTCCTGAGAGGAAATAACTTTTAAACACGTGCAACAGCATGCACTAGCCCATTTCTCCTCATGCAGGCTCTGTTTAAAGGTTGCTGTTTGCAATGCTTATACAAACTTACTCTCCAGAAAAAAGATTTCCACTATGTCAGACTCACCACCAGTAAGTGAAAATGGGGACGAACACGTAAACATATCACCAGAATGATTGATAATTATGATGACCACTTATTTTGATGATCCACCCGAAAAAAGAACATCATCCACTATACCTTTAATCTACATATTTTGTATTTGTATTGAAAATTATTCAAGTGAAATAAATGAGATTTTAAACATAGGAAAAGTAAAAGACGATTGTATTAATCATTGTTGGTACTATTATTGTCTTTCAGTTTCATGCATCTGGGTCACTTCCACTAACCTTTACCTTTATGTTTCTGTGCAATGGGGAACAATTAAAGATAAAAATACATCTGCTTCTCATACTTGAAGCATTTGTCCTCTTTACCAATGCTTAAATGTGCTATAAATATGTTATATGTTTAAAGATAGGCTTGTTTTTTTTCTCAGAAATAGTTAGTTTCGTAAAATGTTCACATATGAACTAGTTCATGACTATTATGTGTAAATACTAATTGTCATTTAAGCTACCATAATCTGCTCGTATGAAAATAAGATTCTGTTTAAGTCAAATATTCACCTTCTGATGGATAGTGGACCCTTCTGCCCATGACTCACCTTCAATCCTGAACATCCTTAAATTATAGAAAATACATTTTTCGGTTGTTTTTGTCACATTCTGAAGAGTTCAGAAGCCTTATAAAATAATAAGCATATGTTCCCTACATAGCTGAAAATGTAGGTCAGGAGATCCCGAGGTGGAGGTACAGTAGGAACACCTCACTGGGGGCGCGAGACACCATTTCAGGGGTCGTGGTATTATCTTCAAAATTATTGCAAGTTGTATGGCAGAGCAAAAAGGAATATATAATGAAGTAGATAAATATGAATGTTCTAATGAATATTATTATATTCACAATAAATTAATAGTTGAATAATTTACCTTTTAAATTTGTTTAAATCTCACTATATATTTATTTAATTTCATTTAAAATATAATGATACAACAATATATGATTATTTCTATCCATATCTATTGTTTAAAAAGCAAAGATTTTTATTTTTATTTATTCTTTTTTTTTTTTTGGATGGACAGGCTTGCCTGTGTTATTTTGGGGGCAGAATGTTAGAAATCAGAATGAGAAACAAGGTGCTTCTTTTGCTGTAAAGAGGGTGGAAAGAATTTTGAGTTTGGCTGTGAACGAGGTTTCAGCTTCATGTCTTCTGGCCCCGGCATCGGGTACTGGGGAAGAAAAGGGTCCCAAACCTGTGCGATTGTTGCCAGGCAACTAGATATTTTCATGTCACTAATGGCAACAAAGAGGCCACTTCTGCTAATCACAGCTGGCTGAGACTCAGCTCAACATGCTTTGCCCTGCTTTTCAGCTGGATGATGAGCTACTCAAATGTGACAGAAATTTAATCCCTTTTTACATTTTCTTTTCTAATTTTAGATGCGCATCTTTGACCTATGATGCAGACCTTCCTGCCACAAGCATCATCATCACTTTCCACAATGAAGCTCGCTCTACTCTACTTCGCACCATCAAAAGGTATTGAAATGGCCCCACTAAGACTGGTGCAATGACCCAAACGCATAATTTATCACTGTGATCTAATGGCTCTGTCTCTTCCTTCTAGTGTCCTGATGCGAAGCCCTCCGTCTCTTATTCAAGAAATCATCCTTATAGATGACTTTAGCACAGACCGTAAGTCCTGGGATTTGTTCCTTGTTTCTACACTGAATAAGGTAGCAGCAAGTTATGTCAGGAGCTCAGAGGTTTGGACCCAGAATTCAGACGAGACAGACAGTGAAGCTTAAAACGAGTTTATTGAACAAGCTGCGTGCGGCTGCTCATCAGCTGGCGCGGGTTCACTGGATTCGCTG